AGTGTCAAGATCACCTTGCTCAGCCAGGCGGTCTAGGTACCGCATGAGACTGATGCAGTCATTGGTGTGATGACCAACATCATCATGATAAGCACAGAATTTATCTTGGTTCCGGTTGTTTGCAGAACCCTTCATGGGGACCGGCTTCTCAATTGAGATCCGTCCCTTGATTTCTTTTAGGATAAACTGGTTATCCTTGTTAAACGCATACTTTGGGGAGTATGGTTTGAATTCTTTTTTCTTTTTCTGGGCCGGCTGTTTAGAGGAATCAGCCGCCCAGACCTCTTTCCTTTTCTCTTCTTTGTTTGACGACTGTTTCTGTCGTCCTTCTCTTTTGTCGAACCTTTTCCCGTCCGACTGTTTCATCGTACAAAGATCAGTCGCCTGTATATAGGCTTCTGCTTCAATCAAGGCCTCTTGAAGAGTCGCCACCCTTTTTCGAACCAAATCAAATTTGAAGGTAGACCCGTCTTTGAGACCTCTAAAAAAGTCGGTATAAGCTACCTCATCCGGTAACCCTTGAATCTGTATTCTCATCAGGTTAAATCGCCTGATGTAAGAACGAAGCCCCTCCTTCTCGCCCTGCTGAATTGTTCCCAAATCAAGGGTTTTTTTCTTCGCAGGGATGTTCATGGCGAAGTTGGAGGCAAATAAGTAAGCAAGCGTCCTGAAGCTATTTACACAACCAGTCGGCAGGTTGCCGAACCATTGCTGTGTGATAGGCCGTCGTCGAGCCTACCAAAGATAATAATTCCTATCTTGGTCTCACTAACAATAGTAAGGGTAAGAAAGGGTCGAACCCAAGAGAGGCGTTGAATCAACCACCGAGTACTACCGTTTAAATAAGCTAAACGAATTCTAAATTTGGGTTGGTTTTTAGTAACTTCTTCTAACACAATTCAACTAAGCTAAGAGGAGGTTAACAATATTAAGAGGAATCTAGGGCTTGGGTTATACCACTCAACTTCATCACAAATCACAATTAGCATGCAACAATCAAGGTAAATTAATGGGATAAATTAGGGGAAGTCATCTAAAGCACCCAACTACTCTCTCAAGCTAGAGGGATTACTTGAATCATGAATACGACCTACTCTCGTGGTTACATAGCATAAAACAAGTGTTAAAGCATAATCACGATGACATAAACATTCCCTTGACCGGTAATCCCTATTCTCATGGCATTTCGGGTCAATCAAGCATAAGGGAGCTAACTCAAGTTCATCTCTCGATCCTTCGTTGAGAAAGCTTGGATAAATAGTTCTAGCAATGGCCATATACAAGAACTAAGCAATTAAACCACTTAAGCTCAACTAATTAACATCCCACAACAACCAAATTAGCACATGCAACAAGTAATTAGTGACTACATTGAGGGTTTTGCCCAAACCCTAGAATTTAGACTACTCACAATCCATGGGGGTTAAAGCAATTAAAGATTTCAAGCAATTCATGAACAAATTCAAACTAAGGATTAAGCTAATTAACAATCCAAAACATGCAAGAACTAGCAAATAATTAACAACAAAGTAAAGAGAAGTAGAAAAGATGAGTAAGAAATGGTTACTATGAAGCTTCAAGGTGAGCAACAATGGTGGATTTTGTCTTCTACAATGATTGAATTTGAATAATTCCAAGCTAATAATTGAGAACTAACTAATGATTTGAGAATTTAATGTTCTAAGACTACAAACTAAGAGAAAAGCTCTGAAAAACTGCCTCTCCCGTACAAATGAGCTCTAAAGGGGTATTTATATGACCCCCAAATAAAAAGGACGGAGAAAACAAGGAAGGAGTTCGACTGCAGGTCTGCACGGACGTGCCAGATTTGGCACGGACGTGCAAGGCTAAGCACGGCCGTGCCAAGTTTGGCACGGACGTGCAGAGGGGGCAGAATTGAGGCAGAACGTACTGCTAAGAATCGAGCAGTTCCGCACGGACGTGCAGATATTGGCACGGACGTGCAGCTACATCTGCACGGACGTGCTTAATTTGGCACGTCCATGCAGGCCTTGGCAGAATGTTCTGAGTTTCAGGAGCACTTCTGCACGGACGTGCAAAGTCTGGCACGGTCGTGCACCCTCTTCTGCACGGACGTGCCAGATTAAGCACGGCCGTGCAGGCCTTGGCAGCTTGCTGAAGCTTTCTGGAACCTCCTGCACGGACGTGCAAGGTCTGGCACAGCCGTGCAGGGTCTTCTAAACCCCTTTTTTTCATCTTTTCTTCTATAATGCTCCTTTCCTTGGCTTCTTTCATCCATCTTCTTGCTTCTAACCTCGGCTTTGTATCCATGGGCTCCATTTGGTCGTTCTTTTGAACCTAGAATCTCAACAAAAACACCAACAACCCGTGAAGCATAGGATACACAAGAATTGCATAATAATAGAGTAAAAATGAACCAAAACGCAATTTATATCAAGTAAACTAGGTTCAAAACACCCTAAAATCGTATCAAATAGCAAGTTATCACTGTGCGATTCCTTTGAGAGTCGCTGGGAAACACTTGCACCAAGTGGGATCATCCAACCCTTGAAGGTACATCAGGTTGGTGAATGCCATCAGATGGTCTTCTGGGTTAGTAGTGCCGTCATAGGCGCCTACTAGTACATTTTTCACTTTGGCCGGCTGAGCGGCTTCAGTAATTTCCTTGGAGAAGGCCGACGGCTGTTCACCAAGTCTAAGCAACCGTAGCTGCCAGTCCATAGGTTGGACGTTTTTGGCTGCAGGTCCACCAAACGGAGGTGGCTGCAAAAAATATTGTTGTTGCGGCACAAATGGTAAGTTTGGTACCGCCTGGTCACTATGAAAGCCGGACTGACGGGAGGTGCCGCCTGACTGACTCTCATGATACGACTGAGTATGCCTCATCGAGGCATTTCGCAAACTGTCTTGAAAGTTTGAAGTAGAGGCCGACTCTGACAATCGGTCACTCTTCTTCTGCTCTAGCAGTAGCCGAGCATCTGTGAATGTTTGCTTCGACCCGTCCGCCTGAATATGACGAACAGGTTTCCTATTTCCTGTAGGATAACGGAATTTTGTGAAATCAAGGGCAGGTGGCTCCCGCTTCCTAGATTTAGGATGAGGAGTCGCCTCTCGCCCTTGAACTGGCTTCCTCTTCAGTGAAGTGGAGGGTTTCTTGGCCGACTGCTCCTTGACTGGAGCAGGCGGCTTCTTGTTGATCAACTCTTGAATCTCTCCCTTGAAGTCCCTCATGAAGGTCATGAGTTCATTCCTTGTGATGGGAGCAGACCCATCAGTCGGCTGTTGCCGAACAGGCGGTGCGCCTGCTGGCTCGCTTCCTGTTTGAAGATGTTCCCGTTCCCTCCTTTCGGTATGACGGGTACGTCGGGCCCTTAGGGTCCCGTCTGAAGCTGTATGAGCTTCAACTTCGAATTCACTTTCGGTATCATGGTCCGACTGAACTTGAGGGTCGTCTAGGGGACGCCTCTCTTCAGGAGTCGGTACAGACTTGGATGCCATCTCAGAAGTACTCTCCCCACAGACGGCGCCAAATGTTTCGGGGTTTTCTGATGTCCTGCGGGAGAGTTACAATTCCGAGACTGGAACCGGACGCCTGTACCTGCAAAATAACGGAGACTCCTGTGAGCTCCGCCTCCAACGGTCAAGTTAGTACCTGATTAAGGAGTAATTAATGCGGAAATTAAAGTGATTTGGTCTCTCTAGGGGAGAGTGATTAACGTAGGTAATCTGCTTTGTTAGCGAGATCAGCCGGTTATTACTGTGTGTAATTAATGTGTTTTTTCCGTAATGTTTCTGTGTTCTTTTTGTGTCATCCCCCTTAATGAGGATTAAGGGAGGTATTTATAACCTTGGGAAACGTGCACATCCTAGGTTTAGGTAAACCTAGGGCCGATTGGGCTTCCCTCGGAAGTTGGGCCTGGGTGGCCGGTTTCTCCATTAGGCATGGAGTATGCCACATGTCTTGACATAACAGGTCCAAGGTGGACGAATAAGCGTGTGCCACGTGGGAAGCCCTGGCTGTTCCAACTGGGGGACACTTGGCAGGATCTGATTGGTCCACGTGGCGCATTCCGATTGGTGGGAGCAAAATCCCTTAATCAGAGTATATAACAATATTGGATACAAAATTCAAGTTTCAAATTTTTAGTTCCACACCTACTTTGTCCTAATTTCTAGCAAGTAAAATGAAAGGGCAAAAAAAAAATAAAAAATGATGACATCATATTGAAGTTTGGAGAGAGATTTTTTAATGAGAGCTTGACACATAAAATACTTTAAGGAATTGATGACATTAGCACGTTTTGTTTTAGTAATAGTTAATAGATTTTTTATTTATTTTTTTTTATTTTTTTTTTTTGGAGTTACCATATTTAACAATTTTGAAATTTGAATATTAGAACCTTCTACATTACAACTACAACCTATCAATTTATCTTTAAAAAATAAAGCAATTGTAAATAGCATAATTCTTTTTTTATTTTTATTTTATTTTTATTTTTTATTTTATTTGAATGGAAGGTGCATAATTCTAATTTATATTTATCCATTTTTTTTAATGTATAAATTATAAAAATAGATTTTATATAAACCGTGCATCACACGTTCTAACCTAGTTAACTCTAATTAGATTTGATTAATTTAACACTCATCTTTTTTCAAACCTATCCTTTTTAAGATATACAAAACACACCCTTAAAACGTTTGTATTTACGCTTCTTGTTACACTTATTAAATTTGACCAATATGCTCAACCGCTTACGGATTAAAAAATTAATAACCTAAGCACTTTTGCCAATTTAAAAAGTTTAACTTATAATTCTTCTTACGTAGTCAAATTATAAAATCTGATTCGGTCATCACCATCCACTCAATCAAACATTGCATACAATTTTTTATTTCAAAATTTATTCTTTATTTTTTGTTTCATATTATCTTGATTAAATCAAAATTCCAAAATCACATGAAAATTGTCTTTTGCCTCTTTCTCTCCTCAAAAATCTACACCCAATAACAAAAAAAAGAAAAAAAATCATCATCATCAAAAATCGAAAAAAAAAAAACAGAAATACCCATATTATAATTCTTAGGTAAATCATTAAAAATGTCATTGTAACAAACACTATATTTCTTCTTCTCCTTCTAATACTACCTAACTTTTACCTGTACATTACACAGACCCATCAATTTATCACTCATTTTTTGTGTATGAATTCACACAAATTTTGAGTTTTATTCCTTATTCTTTATTTTTTTTGACCCAAAAAAAAAAGTTTTTTTTTTTTTTTTTAATAGTTACAATGGTTAATATTTGGAAGAAGTTGAAAATTCTTATGAAATTTAAGCTCAAACTCAAGTCGAAGTCCAAGAAGAAGAATCGAACCCCGGTTGATATAGTTCGCCGTGCTCGAGAATTATTGATTCTTATCAATGATACTACCAATGTTGATCAAGCAACTAATTGGGTTTGTTTTTTCTTAATTTTATTTCAATTCTAATTTGATTTTTCATCTATTTTTATGGGTTTTGATCATTGTTGTGTTTGGAACATCAATTTGATACTGAGGTTTTTAGTTTGATGATTTATGGTTTTTATTGTTATGGCAATTATGGGAAAAAAATGTGATCTTGATGAATAATGATTAGAAAAGGTTTGATTTTTATGATTCTCTATTATTAATTTGGTATATTTAGTATAATGTAAGAAAGTCAATTTGGTTTTGTGTGTTTATGGAACAGAATTAAAGGAGTGAAATTTTTAATTTTGATCAATTTTGGATTCTGTTGTGGGATTTTACTCTGTTTGGAATGTGAGAAATATTATTTTTTATGATGAATAGATAAAGAACAACATAAAGTACATTTTTATTAAAGTGCAGAAAACTGATGATTTATCTTATATACTCTTTCCAGAACTGATTTATGTGCTTTGATGATTGATTTCGTCGAATTATGATTGAATTCGTCGAGTTCAGTGAACTCATTGCTGATGTATGATGAATAGATGAAGAAGAACAGAAAGTACATTTTTTTTTGTAAGTGTAGGAAACTGATGATTTTACTTATATACTCTTTCTAGAAGGACCAGAACTGATTTATGTGCTTTGATAGATGAATATTATTGAATTATGATTGATTTCGTCGAGTTAGGTAAACTCATTGTGGATGTATGATGAATAGATAAAGAATATAAAGTACATTTTTATAAACGTGTAGGAAATTGATGATTTTGCTTATATACTCTTTCCAGAACTGATTAATTTGATTGAATAAAACTGAATTGTGATCTGATTTCGTCTTCAGAAGGAAGAACTAGGTGAACTCTTTGCGGATGTTAAATCCATCCTTTATGGCACGAGTGAAGCTGAACCCGTCCCAGAATCTTGTGCACAAGTAACACAAGAATTCTTCAGAGAAGATACTCTTCGTCTCCTTATATTTTGTCTTCGTAAACTTGACTTGGAGGTGAGCTATGGAGTTTAGAAATTGTTTGAGGATCTTTATTTGAAGTTATTTCGAATGCTGTAATACTAATTACTAGTAATATCTAAATCCTCTACTGACATAAATGGTTTTCTTTTATGAATATTGAACTTGTAATTGTTAATTTTGGCCAAAAACCTGTTTTCCTGATGTTGCTTATTATTAAAAAAGATGATCTCTCTTAGGCCCGAAAAGATGCTACTCAAGTAGTTGCAAATCTGCAAAGACAGCAGGTTCATTCACGTCTAATTGCATGTGATTACTTGGAAGCCAACATTGATCTTATTGATGTATTGGTATCAGGGTAAGTAAAACAATGATGTTATCCTAATTTTCTCTTATTATGCTCAAGAGTTGATAAATTGCTAAAGAGTTGAATTCTCATAAGGTATGAAGACCATTTACTAGCTTTGCATTATGGTAATATGTTGAGGGAATGTATTCGTCATCAAAGCATTGCCAAGTAAGTGATCAAATATCATGTTTTAGTTCTTATTCTATTTCGTGATAAACGATTGAAAGAATCCCTGATAAAAAAAAATCAATAATGTTATTGTTTCATATGCTCATAGATATGTGCTTGAATCGCACTTGTGCAAGTTTTTTGATTACATACAACTTCCAGATTTTGATATTTCATCAGATGCAGCTGCAACTTTCAAGGTTTTATATCTTCCTCTGTTTATTTATCATTTGCACACTATTGAATTAGAATAAAATGAAATTTTATGAATTACAACTATACTTCAACATTTTAGCATGTTAGACGATCCATATGAAAATGTTCCTAACTCACAAGCTATATGTATAAGTCACAAGCTGTATGCATATATGAATATCTAAATTGATACAAATTTGTGTTAGGTTTTTTCATTGGCAATGAATAAACTTCTTTATCTATATTGTATTTTGAATTGCTCAAAAAGTTATTTTCTTTAATTGTGGTATTTGTAGGAGCTATTAACAAGACATAAAGCCACGGTCTCAGAATTTTTGCTGAATAACTATGATTGGGTAAGTTACACTTAAGTTACATTTATATTACATACCTATAACTTAATGGATAATAATATAAATATCATCCTGATATAGTTTTTCAGAGAATTCAACATTAAGTTGCTGCAATCCCCAATTTATATTACAAGGCGTCAATCTATCAAGGTAAATCATTATGTTAATGTATAACTTTTGTATTTTGTATAAAACCTCTCATCATTTTTTTTTTCTAGCTTTTGGGAGATATATTGCTTGATCGCTCAAATTCTTCCATAATGGTGCGATATGTGAGCTCAAAAGATAATTTGATGATTCTTATGAATCTTCTCAGAGTATGTATTATTTTCTAGTTATTTTCACGATTAGTATCCTAATCCAAAAAATAAAATTAGTTAACTGAGTAATTTATTGTTTTGGTATAGGAATCAAGTAAGCCCATACAATTGGAAGCATTTCATATCTTTAAGGTATATGGAAATATATTGTTTACAAGTATTATCAAGCATTTCACCATTTAGGAATGAACTCAGAAAAAATGTATTAGGAATTGCGTGTTTAGTTGATTTGAAAATGTTTTTCATTCGTCCTAAATTATTTATCCGGTGCAATCTTGAATAGTGTATTCTAAATTTACTATATATGACAGTTATTTGCAGCTAACAAGAACAAGTCGCCTGATATCACAACCATATTGATAGCTAATAGAAGCAAGCTTCTTCGATTTTTTAGTAACTTTAAGTTGGATAAAGGTAATCTTTATTGCACATTTAAACAGTTCATATACTCGAACTTTGGAATTTCGTTTTTACTCATTATAACTTATTTGTTAGCAGAGGATCAACAATTTGAGGCTGACAAAGCTCAAGTGGTTAAGGAAATAGCGGAATTGACGCCAAGGGAGATTCGATGACAGGCTTAAGTTGAAGAAAAATTCGGAATTTTGCTACTAGGTGCTTAGGTTAAAGGAAGTTGTTACCTTCATATTTATGTTCAACTTGTATATTTTGAAAGCTATTTCTTCATCTCTTGGTAAAGAGGCAGAATTGTAAATAAAACATCAAATCGATTTCATTTTTTGGCCTAAATTTAAGTGAAAATATTTACTTGTAAGTTGTAACCAAAGTCATTTGCAACAGAACTCAATAACAAATGTTGGGAATGTAGTTCAATATGATATGAAGAGTATCTCTTTCTTATTTTCTAACCCAAGGACATGAGATATATATTGTACGGATTACATGATAAGCACAAATATTACTAATTTTAAAATGATTTAACTTACTGCGGTAAAAAAGAGATTACTCCACGAATCTACATTAACCATCTAAAAATCAAACTAAGATAGTGGTGTAAATTGACTTTATTGTTGAGATCTTCATTTCTAATTAATTAGCAAATCAAATTTGTTCATCTTTTGTATTTAGAACCTAAATTTTCTTCTGAATTAGTTAGCAATCACTTCAAACTTTCAAAGTCAGACTTTAGCAACTTTACTTGAGCTTCCCCTGCCATCTCATTTAATCTACCCAGATCAATTCACGGAGTTTTACAGGTAGTTTCTTTATCCCCAGCTCAAATTATTCAAAATTTATTTCCATTTCTTGCTCATTTATACTAATTTGTGGAACTACAACTTTTCGAGTTGTAATTATGTGTTTATCGACGTTTTGCAGTATAAAGTTTATAGCTTTTTGTAAAAATTTCAACTTCATGGGTATTGCATACCACCTGTTTGATAAAATGACTAAATGAATCATTGTAATTTGATTTATGTACCCATTTGACTCTTCAATGATTTTTTCTGAGATACCCAGATTGAATTTCGTAGAATCACATCTTCATCAAAATTAGTGCTTCATTTTGGTGAATAATATGATTATTGTTTGTTGTAATCTGCAAAGATAGTTCATTTTCTAACATTATGCACTAAAACTCTATATTTTGTTGGATGTTTCATAAATTGCTTATTGTTGGCTTAAAGAGTGACATTTATCTCTTTTTTCTTTTCTATTGTTAGTTGCTGCAATAATTTTGGGGGTGAATGAACTAAAAAAGGAGTAGAGATGGTGATGTGTTATCCTTCAACGCCTGGTAAGCTGGCAGTGACTATGGCATGCTTTCTTGGTGGTATTTCTTTATTTGTTGTTGGTATACATTATTCCTACAAGAATGTTGCTCCACAGCAAGCTCGTACGAAAGCTCGAAGCGAATTTGTTAGGGAGCATCTTAGGAAGAAGCATGGCTTTGGTGAGAAGAAAAAATGAGGCAGAATGCCTTTTGCTTAATTTTCTAGTTCTGTGTTTTTCCCATATAAACATGATGATTATGTTGATGAATGGAAGCTTTACTTTTGAAGCAAGAGTCAAAAATAAAATTTTCGCAATGTAATCTTTGATTGAATTTTGAGTGGAAGTCGCATTTGAATACACAATGTGATTTATTCACGAAGGTTTAGCTTTTTGAACTGAAGATTTTGTTTCAACTTTACGTTCATTTATGTTTGCTGATGGACGAGAAGTGGTGCTGTGGTTGTTGTAGATTTCAAATTGATCCCACTAGTGACATGATTCGCAATGTCGTTTTGGTTCTATCATTACAGTAGAAGTGGGAGAGGTGGGAAGATTAGTGATGCAGTTATGAATAAGTGTAACGAGGCTTCTCAAATTGAACCTTGGTGTGCTAAACTAAATGGTTATTGAAGTTGGGTTTTATGCAATGAGCTGTACATGCAAAGTTTCTGCTCTTTTGGGTTGAGTTCATATCTTCACAAGATATGTGGTTCGCTGATCAATTCTGAAATGTTCAGAATCATAAATATTTTGAAGCATCAAATTAAAGGCAGTTTCATAAGGGCTCATTACTAAAATGAAATGCATCAACAGAAAGATTACTCACTGCGGAAGTGGATTATTTGCTTATATTTTTCTTTCATATTGGAAGCTCAAGGGATATCTAAGTGGCTATCAGTTCCCGGATTCAACCAAGAGGTCGGGAGAAGAAATATTTGGTGCTCTTAAGCGGTTCAAGTGCCTTGACAGAATAGCACAGAATGACAGAAAGTCATAGATGCAATCTTTGTCTTGAACTCTTGATAGAAGCTTTAAGATTGTCGAAAAGCCATTACTTTAGGTATGGCTGATAAAACCTACTTTCTTGTGATATTAGTGAAAAAATAACTCAGAACACGGTTCTTGCTAGAAGCAGATGGTTTGGGCTTTACAGCATTATGTTTTACCTTGTTATGTAATGAAAGAGAAAATATAGAAGAAAGCATGAGGTAGTACCCTTGTTTTCCTTTCCTGTATATTAATACAAGAGTGGAAATACAATCATTTATATTCTGACTCTTGCATACTCCAATACATCTATTGAATCATTGTTGCTTCATAATGATTAAAGAAAAAAGTTCTAGTTATAGGGAAAGTATAGCAGACTTCTGCACCAGTAATACTATGCCAGGAGGCCTAGAACTAAGCTGTTTGTACGAGCATTGCCTGTTTTTATGCTAGATTGCTTACCAATATTCAAGAATATTGATATATTGATATATTGATGTAGTTTGATACTTGGAAGGATTATTGATATATTTTTTACTCTGTTCAAGAATGATGAACGATCAAGATATTACCAATTTTTTTTTCAATTCCTGTGTAATGAGGTTGAGTTAGTTTGTTTATGGAGCATCTCTTTCAGCCCCGTGTCCCCCTCAGCGCCCCAAGTAACACTGCATCTGGTATCCCTCTGCTAGAAATTTACAAATGCATGTTTTATGCATATTTTCAGATACAAAAAGTGCCAGAGGGATGGTACTATGGTAGACATTTCATATGAAATTGTCCTCTCTCATTAGCATTCTAGTTAATTTTCGAGTATACCTAGAAACGTGTTGGATGTTCCCTAACAAGACAGCGAGCATCAAAATATGCAGGTGCCGTGCACAAATTCAACAGCAGAAAGGTGCTGAAGTCTGGAGGTATGATAGAGACCTCACTGGTACCTCACTGATTGAACTTTCAAGTCCACTCATTGACAATCAGTGGAATTTTTCATTATGTTTTAGCTTTTTTAGTAAAATTGCAGAAAAGTGTTTGAAGGGATATATGACTTTGAAAACGTGTGTTATGTGTACAAAATAGAGCACTGGTGGATCAAAAACTTTTTGTACGCGTAAATTAGAAGATACGAAGGAGATGTAAAATTTGATGTCTTTCTGTTGTTTACTTCTGAATTTAATGTAATCAATCAGGAAAAAAGTCAGTCAATCTATGTTTGCGTTGTTCATAGGGTGGAATTTTCCTTCATAGGAATCCACCTTATGACTTTATGGTAAATGTCTAATTCTACTTTCCTAAAATAGCTTGAAGAATTTCTTTGCTAACATATATGGAAACTTAGTAGTTGACTGACATTTGATATTTCCTTGTACAGATTTGTTACAAGTTAAATCAGAGTGCATTATAGTCTGCTCTTTGGGATAATGACTCAAATGACTTTTTCGTACTGTAATTGACTGCAGAATGCAAGCTAAGTCAGCGTAAAGCGTGTTCATTTACTGTCAGAATTTCTGCATGATTCTATACATTCGTTTGCTGTAAGCTTCTGTTATTAAATGAGACTTTTAGACACCTCTATATAATTTGTAATACATCACTGCTTTTCTCCATATTACCCACTTTGCTCTAAATCCTCATTCCCATCCTTAGCTTCACTTTTATAGGTTTACCCATCATAATGTTATTGTGCTTGTGTAATGTTTCTAAGAAAAAAAAATTGGAACAGAAAGCACCTGACCATGAAGTAGGATATTCCAGCAGTAGCTTGAGGATTTTTTATTACAAAGAGTTGAAAAAGGCCACCAAGAACTTCAGCTCGACGAGGTCCCTCACTGATGGACCAGTGTTCAAGGGTTTTATGAACGAGGCGGTTCTTACTCCATCATCTTTTTCCACTTCCAAAATCCCTGTGGTAATCAAGGCCATATTATTGTTGTAGTGAAGAGAGTAGTCAACATAAAAAATGGCAGGTAATAACGTTGGATTTTTTAACCTCTGGCATGATTTGTATTGTGATTTTCAGATTGTTTCTACATTTTGGATGAATTAGAATGCATAATGTTCAATCTTTCTAACTGATTTTTTGATCTCCTTCTAAATATGTAGGATGAGTTGAACTTCTTGGGAAGATTGTCTCACCCGAACTTGGTTCGCCTATTAGGATCTGGATATTGCTGGACAAAGCAACAACTTTTCTTAGTGTCTGAATATATGCCCAAAGGAAGCTTAAATAATCATTTGTTCAATGGTAAGCAGTTAAAAAGTATGAAGTATTACTTCACTTATTAGTAAAGTTTTAGGGTCTTGGTGCCCAAGAGTTTGATCAAATTGTGTGTACATCAATTTATGTCATTCTGTCACCCAAGCTATGCTACTCCCTCGGTTACTTTTTACAAGGCATTTTGATCAATGTCGTCCAGCTAAATTCAAGTTTTCCTCTGCAGGTAATACACTTAGCTGGGATCAGCGGATGAGCATAGCTTTGGGAGTAGCTCAAGGCCTAGCCTTTTTGAATAGTAGTTGTTCCGACATACCATGGGTGTACGACTACTTTAGGCCCTCAAGAATACTTCTTGATCAGGTACAAAATAAATATGAAGTATTATCATATAACAATTTGCTTTTGTATTGTAGTTTATGAAGAGCATTATGATATTATCTGAAGAAAAAAAAGACTGAAAATGTATGCAAAAAGCAAAATCTATGGTATACATAGTCGATAATGTCATAGTGTCATACATAACTCTTCCGTTCTTCTCCTTGTGGATCGTTCAGGATTATAATGCAAAGATATCAGTTTTTGGCTTACCAAAATTTTCAAGGGATTATAACTCGAAAAACCATTTTTATTTATAAGGTTCAGAATATTTTTCTCCAGATTTCTTAAATAGTAAGTAGTGTTTTTTTTCATATCTAAATCGTGGTCTTTGCTTACTAGGGATGTCAATGGGGCGGGGCGGGGCGGATGTTGTGCTTCCCATCCCCATCCCCACCTAAAATTTTCATCCCCATCCCCGTGGCGGGTCTAAAATTCATTCCCATCTCCACCCCAACCCCCACTTGGATATCCACCCCCACCTACTCCCCATCTACTCCCCATCTAAGACCCGCCTAATTCCCGCCTCCCAAATACACAATCCTTCATAATTAATAAAGATTGCAAAAAGAAAAAAATTATTGTTAATATTACATATTTTTGTTTATAATATAAGTGTATTACAAAGTATTATATTTACTATTTTATTTTACATAATTTCTTTTATAAAATAGTATAAAAGTATATAATTTTGTTTTTAAAAATATATAGATGTGGGGATGGGGCTGGTACGAAGTGGGGTAGGTGGGGATGGGGCGGGTACGAAGGGGGGTAGGTGGAGATGAGGCAGGTACGAAGTGGGGTGGGGCGGGTACAACCTAAAATCCACCCCCGCCCCATCACTCATGGCGGGTATGGTTTTTATCCCCATCCCTGCCCCATCACCCGCCAAACCAAGACCCATCCCCGCCCCGTTGGGGCGGGCGGGGTTGGGGCAGGTCTCCTATTTGACCCGCCCCACTGACTTCCCTATGCTTACCTTGTTCATTTCATGTTTCCCTGTACTTAATAATCTTATGTTATTGGTCTGATTGTAAAACTGCAGCAGGCCATAGAACAAATCATAGCGTTGTGTATAGTTTTGGAGTGCTATTGTATATGATGCTAATTGGTGTTCATCGTGCAAAAGATACAAATCTGGAGTACTGGATAGAGCAGCTCTCAGTCTCCAACAAGGAACAACTCGAGAAAATTATTGACCCGTGTTTGAAGGGTGAATGTACGCTTGAGGTAGCTTTCAAGGTGGCTCAATATACTAGCAAATGCCTCAGTGTGCGGCCTGCTAAGAGTGCAAACTGCCCATCTATGCAGGAGGCAGCATCTGAGTTTGCTCAACTGCTGACAGCACCCAATACTAGTGGTGATACGGAGTAGTAGCTTACGCAGGCACATACATAATTGAACAAGATTACCCGTAAAAGAATTGTGTTGATATTAAATTCATTCCTTTTGTAAATTTTATATGACTATTTATTAATGAATTGATTTTTACTATGAGGATAATTGAAATCTGACATGTAAATGATGTAATATGAGGATTTAGTTTGTTTAGTTACTGAATTTTAGGCCTATACTGAATTTTTTGTTATATACTTTGTTTTGAGATGATACAATTAACAAAAGTATCAAAATACAAACAGAAATGAAACAATAAGTAGTTAAACAAGCTTTCCCCAAAGAAATTGAGATGAAGAATATAACCACTCTTTTAATTACCCTCAAACAAAAAACCCTTATTTTGGTTAGAAACCAGTGAGTCGGTAAAAAGCTTAGTTGTGATAAACTTCTTAAAAAGCTTCGTACTTTAATTAACTTTCAACTAGCACACCTTATTGTTAAAGGTGTTCATAATAGACTAGAGTTAAGTGTGTTCAAACAAACATGAACTAGAATTATGTATTTATGTGTTCAAGTTGTAACATTTTTCTTGTTCATACAATCTTTCTTAACCGGATAATCCACAAATAATTCATGCGAAGTAATCCAATCCGTGTATACCCTGTTATATTGAGTTAAAGGTGTTCATAATAGACTAGAGTTAAGTGTGTTCAAACAAACATGAACTAGAATTATGTATTTATGTGTTCAAGTTGTAACATTTTTCTTGTTCATACAATCTTTTTTAACTGGATAATCCACAAATAATTCATGCGAAGTAATCCAATCCGTGTATACCCTATTATATTGAGTTAAAGGTGTTCATAATAGACTAGAGTTAAGTGTGTTCAAACAAACATGAACTAGAATTATGTATTTATGTGTTCAAGTTGTAACATTTTTCTTGTTCATACAATCTTTTTTAACTGGATAATCCACAAATAATTCATGCGAAGTAATCCAATCCGTGTATACCCTGTTATATTGAGTTAAAGGTGTTCATAATAGACTAGAGTTAAGTGTGTTCAAACAAACATGAACTAGAATTATGTATTTATGTGTTCAAGTTGTAACATTTTTCTTGTTCATACAATCTTTTTTAACTGGATAATCCACAAATAATTCATGCGAAGTAATCCAATCCGTGTATACTCTGTTATATTGAGTTAAAGGTGTTCATAATAGACTAGAGTTAAGTGTGTTCAAACAAACATGAACTAGAATTATGTATTTATGTGTTCAAGTTGTAACATTTTTCTTGTTCATACAATCTTTTTTAACTGGATAATCCACAAATAATTCATGCGAAGTAATCCAATCCGTGTATACCCTGTTATATTGAGTTAAAGGTGTTCATAATAGACTAGAGTTAAGTGTGTTCAAACAAACATGAACTAGAATTATGTATTTATGTGTTCAAGTTGTAACATTTTTCTTGTTCATACAATCTTTTTTAGCTGGATAATCCACAAATAATTCATGCGAAGTAATCCAATCCGTGTATACCCTGTTATATTGAGTTAAAGGTGTTCATAATAGACTAGAGTTAAGTGTGTTCAAACAAACATGAACTAGAATTATGTATTTATGTGTTCAAGTTGTAACATTTTTCTTGTTCATACAATCTTTCTTAACTGAATAATCCACAAATAATTCATGCGAAGTAATCCAATCCGTGTATACCCTGTTATATTGAGTTAAAGGTGTTCATAATAGACTAGAGTTAAGTGTGTTCAAACAAACATGAACTAGAATTATGTATTTATGTGTTCAAGTTGTAACATTTTTCTTATTCATACAATCTTTCTTAACTGGATAATCCACAAATAATTCATGCGAAGTAATCCAATCCGTGTATACCCTGTTATATTGCTAAGCTATGATAGAAACATAGGAAAGAAAATGGAGGCCAACGTTGAACTAGAGGTAACATAAATATAAAAGCATCACACTACACATTACAAAATGTTTTGGAAGAATTAACAGAGTTGAACTCAACACGACTACGATCAACCAAAAAAAGATATAACATATCTGACTATGATTCTACAGCAAAAAATTAAGCAGCAGATTTGCCCTTCTTCTTCTGGATTTTCTTCATGTAGAATTCCAGTTCTTTGCCCTCCAGTATATATCTGCCACAGACCAATTTAAAGCTTCTTTAGACAGTTGAAACGCAAGTCAAACGGAATTTAGGCCAAAACATCTAAACTACTTAATGTTCAAGTATTTTATGCTTTTCTATAGTATAAAGGCAAAAGCAAGTTTCTCCAAATGATGGTTTAAAGATGGCATTGAGCTATGAATTTGCAAACAGTATGACTTAGTATTAGACTACTTTTCTTAATAGTGAATCAAATTAATGGTAGAACGAAGTCCATTTTCACAAAAGAGAAATCACTTACCCATCAGCACGGCCACATTGACCAGGACGGGAAGAAATGCAGGCCAACAAACGACCACCACCGAATTGTTCTTCAATGTGAGAATCCAAAGTGCGGGTCTGCTGACGCTTTTCCAGCTTCCTCGCAACATGGTTGCTCTTTTTGGCTTCTTCAGTGGTCTCAGCCTCCTATCAAGTAGTATACATAACATATATCAGAAACCAGCTATACAACCAAGATAATAATGACATGTCTCTACTCTTTTGGAACTTATCCAGTTTCACTTTTAACAAAACTTTTCAATTCTTAAACTAGGATAAACTCATGTTCTAAACCAAGTTATTAATCAATCCACATCTCAAAACCATAATTTATACAGGACCTCACATCCTAAAATTCATTTTTGGTCGACTCTGTCCCATGACAGCCATACACTGTAAAATTGGACATAGGCTAATTAACATGAAAACGGTAATGTGCAATTAGAGAATAGCACACATAGGCTAACTTCAATCAAGGTTAACCATAATGACAAGGGTAAGAGACTAAAAGAAAAAGAGGAAGCAAATACCTCGCTTTCTTTCTTTGCAGCTACATTCTTCTTCTTGCGTCCAATCTCAACTCCGTAATGCTGGAGATACCACTGCTTAAAAGGTGCAGCATCAACCTGGACAATGGCACTCTTCACCAAAGTCTGGGTCCTAACCAACTCATTGTTGGATGCATTGTAAACGACATCCAGAAGACGGGTCTTGCGAGTCACAGCTTCGCTACCCCATGAAAAGTTACCAGTATCCAACCTCAGTGCACGCCACTTGACATTACCACCACGAACCCTAACCCTCCTAACTGTCTTGTTGCTTGATAGCTTGGTGTTAGCTGGCTGTCTCCCAAGCTCGTACCTTTATATCATCAAAAAAGCAAATTAATCATCGGTACAATGCACACAAGGAATAAAACAGGAGAGCAATGAATAAGATCGAGACTTTATGGAGACAAGGGTCATGTCATGATTTAGCAAAAAACAATCACAATTAACAAAGAAAGAGACAAAGGTATACATATGCAAGTAATGAATCAGCTAGCCCAGCACTGAGATCCACAGGAAAATGAACATAAATAACATTGCAAAGCAATAAGAAACATGTATTAATCTACTTGATAGAGTAACTTATCTAAGAACAGGGACAAGACAGGACCAGTTCGTTTTCGCACCAAATTTTACAAAATTAAACGGAGTAATATTTTGTTCTTTTTAAAAAACACATTTTAAAACTGGGGTTCCTGTAAATGTACCAATTAGAGAGGATCCAAATTGAAGAAAATAGTTCAAATATGGAAAAAATAAAACTCTCATAATTTTGGGAGTTAATATGTGCCTCCAGAACAAAGCATACAAGAAACCGATCAGAAGATCTCACGCCTTATAGCCGAAAGATGAGGCAGTATCTAAATATTCTATTGAAACATCAAAATAAAAAATAACAAAAAAAAAATTAATTTGAATGATAGGGTAACTTTGTGGGAAGCAAAGAGAACGATATGTATGCCAAAGTATCGCTTGATTTCCTCAATAGATAAGGAGAACATAAAAAATAAAACAATAGCACAGTGATGTAGCTTACAGATATGTTGTGTGCCGATGGAGTTACTAACCAGCACAGGACCGTCTAATAAGCACAATCGAATCACTAATTTTTTCAAGAAATAAAACCAAAGAGCACACGTCTTGCAACTGAAAGGCGAGGCAATTACTAAAATCTACAATAAAACGACTGACGGTGT